ATTTTTTTTTTTTTTTTTTTTTTTTTTTTTTTTTTTTTTGATCTATTATTACAAGATCGATTGGATTCCATTGTGCTCTAAACGGCTCGGCTTAACAAGCTAATTTTTTTTTAAGGATAAAATATAGGTTGCGCCTATTAAAATATAATATTATGTTTTTTTTCCTAAACTTATAATTCTAACTTCAATTTTCTATAAATGTTTAAAAACTTTTAAAATATAGGATAAAAAGTCAATGTATTTAAATATTATTTTTTAAAATTAAATTATGTAAATATCTTAACTACCATCATATTATTTTAAGTCATGATTATGACTATTTTTTATTTAATATTTTAATGAATTTTAAAATATTTCTAAAAGATTTATTTTTTAAACAAATTGACAAAAATTAAGTTATTTCTTATAATTTAGCTTGATATTGGACGACGTGGTAATTGTTTATTGAATCTGAGGGGTACATTTTTTGTACTCAGTTGACTTTTTAAAGGGTAGCCAAGAGCTAGTTACACGTGGAGGATTTTACTGTTGCTGACGTGGCGAGTGTTTACTCGACTTTTTTATGCTTCCTCGACTTTTTTAGGGGAGCCAATGAACAGGTTACACGTGGAGGATTTAGTTGAACTGAGGCTGTCAAGGTGGAAAATTAAGGAATTGTTTTATTTTGGGAAGAAATGGAAAATATATTATATTGGTTTTAACCGTTAACCGGCTGCACTGAGAGAGACCGGAAATTGTCGGTAGCTTAAGGCATCTGTGGCGGTCGGTGGACTCGATTATTGCAAGCTGTGAGCTGCATAATGACCACTTCAGCCGGCTTCTCTTGATATTTACGGCTCCGCCCATGTGATTTTTTAAAATTTAATCTCTATTTTGAAAGAAATTTCAATTGAGTTCTTTATAATATTAATTTAATTTAGTTTTCTGTTCGTTATTCAATGTAAATACTCGTTAATGATAAACTTATGTGAGACAACTTTTAGTATATTGACAAAAATTTAGTGATGAAAAAAAATGTCAACCAAGAATATTTAATATTTATACCTAATTCTTAATAAACTTAAAACAAAAATTATAAAATTTTTATTTACTTAATATTTGTCAATTTTTAATTTAAACAATTTGTTTTCTTTAGTGTTTATATTTTATTAAAATACATTAAAACACAATATTTGCCATAATATTTTTAATAAATCTTAAAATTAGTTCTTAAGAGTTAATTTTTAAAGAAAATAGTTAAATAATAATAATAATAATAATTTATATGCAATAAAAGACCGTAAATAAATATATTTACTGGAACAACTGTGTAAATTTATTTTAAGATTTATTAAAAAGATGCAATTATAATCATGCATTTCATTTCTTATTCAACTCTCTCATTCACAACCATTACAGATTTTTCTCTAAAAAAGGAATTATTTAGGAGGGCCGACAATCGAGAGCCCTTAATATTAAGCACAATTCATCATATTAAAATATTAAAATTTTAATAAAAAATTAGAGGTTTGAATCCCAACTATAAAAATAGAAAATAAAACATGGCAAAACTACAAATCAACGCACGTTTATAATCGAAACAAAGCTAACGTTCTAGTATTCGAAACACAAGAAATTGCTCACCTCTTGATCCATAATCAACTTTGTAGTGCCCTATAGTACAGAGACCAATTAGCTACCTGTTGAGCCGCAACACAAGTAAACTCACTCTAAAATGACGTCAGAACAAATACAACTAAATGTATCATAAAAAGTGAAAACTGGCATGGCCATGTGGTACAAACGGCTCAGCCTAGTAAGACTCAACAACTAATTCTGAACCTATTTTGCAATTACATGTCATCTAATGGCAACTTTTGTGGCTGCTCCTACCATGATAAATCTGTCCCTTCTTTGAGAACAAAGAAAATGATGCAATTGGTCTAAGGCTAGTTCTTAAACTTACCTGACGTTTTCATTGTTCTCAATGTCGGTGAGAGTGCTTTCGACCGCCGAAATGGGGCTCTCCCTTCTCCCTGGTTCTACTTTGTAAAACTCTCAAGGTAAACGAAATGGCTCCGATCGTGGCCATGGCGTAAAAGGCTTTATATGGAGCCAAAGCCAGGCTACACATATAGGTATAATATCCAGCAACTAGATAGATGATGTCTAGTCTGATTTCGATCCGTGACAGACCAAAGAGGGAGAATAAATAGGAATTGAACTCAGGTTTTGAATTGCAGACACCGTGGAGGATAACTCCAGTGCAAAGAAAAGCATCCAGCAACCATGGAAAGCTATGATTTGTCCCTATTCTCTGCAACCCCAAAGAATAGGCCATGTGAGAACCGAAGCTATTTTATTTACAGAGTGGAGGATACTCCAAAAACTTGGGAACTCGACTGTGCAATTCAAATGAAAAAAATATGTTGTAATGTGGCAAATAATTTTCTTTTGTTCTTTCTCCATGTATGATATTCAAATGGACGAGTATTAGTTTTCTTTTTCTAAACGATGTCAAATACGAAACGTGACATGCTAAACATTTTAGACGAAAGCAATGTATTATGAAACAGATTCGAGCAACCATTCTGTTTTCAGAATCATACCTGTAACCAAGCGAGCAGTGAAGGTGCAAACATAATTGCTGCGAGAAGATGCAAAATCAATAAGCCATGACAATGATGAAATATCTCCAATTGTGTTTCCCCAAAACTTTTTGAAGAGCCAGGACTGGTGGAAAGGTCTTCAATCAACTCCTTCAAGTTCGATTTGTCGGGCAATGGAAGTTTAAATTGTTGCGAATCATTTCCACCTTGTAATTTTTTGCTTCGCACATGGCTGTGAAAGGAAGCTGTCAAAGAACTAATACAAAAACATGGAATAATACTTTGACCAGCATAGCAAGAATTGAAAATCTCCACTAAGACAAGTGCAAGAGAATACAGTGTTTCTTTAAACTCCGAAGTATTTTAAGGAAAGACTCTTTTCAGACCGGCTGCCAGAACTTAAGATCTTATAGGTTTAGCAGAGCCTACATTTCAAACCCATTTTGTGTGCATTGTTTGCAATTACCTTATCACTTATGAGCGTGTCCCAAGATTCAATTATCAGATAAGTACATGCCAGCAAAGCTTCTATTCAACTACACGTTCTTAACCACTAAGCCTACTTTCTATTTCAACTTGTAACACACGTGAGTTGTGTGTATCATACGAGGTTAACAACCTTATCTTAGTCTTGGATGCCCAATTACTTTTTAATTTGTTAAAAGAAAAACAAAACTTTCAAGAGTCCTAGTTTTCAACATATGATTTTTGGTGGAATTTTGACATTTGTATTTGAAATTTATTTCAGGTTTTATAAAACATAACATTTCTTAGAAATCCCTTTAGGTTTCCCCACAAGAAGACAAAAATAATTATGACAAGGGTAATCTTAAAAGTACCTGGATAGAGCATTGTGGCAACAGAAAGCATGGAAAGCGAGTAGCAAAAACAATCCCATTGCTGGATGAATAAAACATGCCAAGGTAATAGCAGAAAGAGCAGTAGCCAGTAACGGATCGACCAATACCCTTACAACCTAAAATGAGTGAGTTAGATGATAGATCAAATTGGAAATCAACAACTCATAACCTTCCACTACAAAACAGATGCAAGTTAAGTTAATGGACAACAAGGGACAACAAATTCTATGCTACTCAGAATTAGATTCTCCTGCTAAATATGAAAAGCATAAATTTGAAAACAGATCATTTTTCGAATCGTATGGTAGACCAAGTCATGGATCGCAAAGTTTCTTAAGACAACAGATCTAGGATGTACTTGGGAACACATGTTAGGATAGTCAAGGTTCATTGCATCAAACAAGCATACTACTGCTCAATGAGAAATTTTACAAGCCTAAAATGATTGTTAAGTTTATTTTTTAGTTCACAACAATACGCCTAAAGGTAAAAGCACATTATAGTTATTGGACAACTTGAGGGAAGCACACAGCACATCATGACTTGAAATAAAGATGACAAAAAAAATCGAACCATTTCTGGTCTGTCTAGCGAGATTTTAGTTCTAGTGTACTCTGAAATGTAAATGGTTGACTGCATTTATTATCAAAGATAAAATCAAACCTTTGATAATTAAAAATGTGAAAAAAATTTCTAAAACAACTAACCGCTAAAAAGCCGACATTTCTTTCCCACAATTGCCACCTGCAACATGTCAGTAATCATTTAGGTATATATTCGCTAGGAAGATAACCAAATAATTTAGGTTGAATCAAACTTATTCTTCGTACAAGAACAGCACAAATAAAATATCTAGGAAAAAAGAAAAAAACTTGAAGTAGAAGAAATTTTTTTAAATTGCAAAAACAAAATGCTTTTTCGAGGAGAAATTGCAAATGTAAAATCATACTTGGAATTCCAGTAAACAAATAAACGGCATTCATAACCTCTGAAAAATAACTTGACTACTATTGTCAAATATGAAGGCATACACCCATGATCGATACCACAATAAATAATGCATTATGCAGGTCATGATCTCTGATTATTTAGTACCAATAGTTGTTTAATACACGGACATTCCATTAGCCAACCCCCCCTTTTAATGTAGTTTGGTTGAGAAGTTTCTTCCGTCAGAAAATGCTCAACATATCATCTATTCAATTAGATTCCAGTTCTGTGAATTGTACAATGGAGTAACAAACTGACCTTGTCTTGATGAAAACATGCACAACCGCCATCACATAGAATATCAGCTGGGATACCAAAACCACAGTAATGACAGCAGCATTTGCTAACAAATAACAGATCACTGAGACTGTGGTGAAGATAGCCAGAGGCGGCAGTGGTTGAGAAGTT